CAGATAAAGAGCCTGCAGCTATGAAACTAAGATTAGGTTGAAGCCTAGGTAGTGTTTCTCAGTTCAAACTGGATGATACAAATAGAGGTCACCAGAAACCAGAAGCAGTAAAATGCAGGGACTAGGTAACAAAGCCTTGCTTGTGTCTTGATGACCTGATGTTTGCCTAACAACATAAACAAACTCGAAAGTTTTCACTTAGTTTTGATAGGTTAGCTAAAAGACAATTTGAGAGTTAAAATACCTGCAGACTTTGGCTGTGAGAAAATCTGACCTGTAGATGCATTTTGGGCCCCATTTTTTGGGGAACAAGTGTTTTCAAGCAGAGTTAACTGTAGTTAGAAGGGGCAAACTGCACATTCCAGCATTTGTTAACCACTTCAAGCTAGACTATATGTTTTGTGAATAGTCTGCAGTGGCTGAGCACTTCTAGCACGCTCTGCATACTAATTATCAAAGCATCCAGAGTGCCAAATGAACATAAAGCTAATATTTAATACAGCACCTTCCAGTAATTACAATTATGCAGGAAGGCATGTAGTCCATTTGTAATGAAGGAAGGTATTGAAAATAATAGGCCTATTTCCCTTTTGTTTTCTCTGTGAGGATTATTACTGACCTTCTTTTGCATAAAAATAGTTCACTTTTGAGTGACTGCATAGAAAAATTACATAGCTGAATATTAAATGTTTTCCCCCAGTAGTAATTTTCTCGAGTATTATCTTGAATTTCTTTATAAAACTTTGAGGTTTAAAATCATACTGAAGCTTTCATTTAAGGCACCCTTAAATGCTTTGAATTGTGGAAAGTGTGGAAGTATCTATATCTGTGCAATCTCCATTTAAAAATAAAGAAAAATGCACAAACTAAAATAAGGATCAGATAAGAATGTCAAAACCAAGAATTGTGTTACACAATTTATGTAACTTGTCACTTAGCCAGAAATATTTTTCAGGAAGTATTAGTTGTATTATGGGCTGTCTTTTTCTGTTCTTTGAAAGACCTACAATTCTGAACTCAGTGAAATCTCAATACAAAATATAAATGGCTATTATTCGTAATTGCTACATGCTTGTGCAGTCACTATTCAAAAGCTCTTTTGTCAGCTTTTTCCTGTAGTGTTTGTCTGCAAATGTGAGTTCCTGGAGAAGTTCAGTTCTTTAGCCCTGTGAAACAGTAATACAACAACGCCTCTGTCACTCTCTCTGAGTAGACTTGGAGCTTTTACTTTCTCTCCTGATCTTTTGATTGGCCGATTTTAAAACTAGAGCAGATCATTACTGTTCTCTGATTTCACTTCCTCTGGTGTTAAATGGTTCTAAAATGGCATGTAGCAAGGCAAGTAACTTTTGATTAGAACTTGCAGAAGCCTTTTGGAATGTATTTCAATCATGGTATAAAATTACAACATGATGGCAAAAGCTTTCCTTGCGCTTGGTAAGTGCTTCCAGTACCAATACTCATCATTTGAAAAAAATGTAGTGTCTTGACCTTTTGAATTACCTTTTTGGGATTTTCTGTTTTCTTATGTCTTTGTGTCTTGGAAACCACTCTAGTATTAAAAGTTATTTTGATTTGAAGCTACTTCTATGATTATGACCTTCAAATCTTTCTGTGAAATATGAGTTCCCTTGTTTCAGCATGTTGCTGAAGGAAGGACTTTTATTAGAAGAACTTCAAACATCTTTATTTTTGTTTTGCCATTGTTATTCTTAAAGGGCACATTATTTCCATGTTGGCCTTCCCAGTAATGCATACTATAATGGTTTACCTACAGTTCTTGTTATGTTTGCTGGCTTTGGGCTAAGAGGATATGTATTCTCTAGGAATAAATCTGGAGAGCTGCTTTCCAATGTGACTTCCTCCCTTTCCTCCCATCCTTTTTGAAGGTGCATCCTTACTGTGGTGCAGTCTTCTTGGCATGATCTTTATATTTTTGTAACAAGTGACATTTTGTCTTTAACTCCTGAGCTTCCTTAGGAATTTTGAAGATATTGCTTTGTGTTTGTTTGGTTTTTCTTTTGGATCTCTCTGAAATGCATGCTATTTATCAGCTATTAAATTATTACTATGTAATGAAAAATGCTTATCGTTCAAAAAGCTTTTCTCCTTATCTGCGTTTAAAACACATGGGTGCAAGGGGGTTTATTGTGAGAGTGTTTTGTTGGGTTTTTGGTTTTGGTTTTTTTTGTGGTAGTGGTTTTGTTTGGTTTTTTTTTCAGAAATTAAGGAAAAAAGCCCTCTTAATTATTTAATAGAATTCCTAACAGCCAATTCAGTCCCAATTCTGGCTGGCCTGAAGAAAAGTTGTTTGCTGTCCTTTTCTATTTGTTACTCTCCATAGGGCAGACTGAAAAGTCTTTAGCTTGCTTGTGAGATTGCTTTCATTGAGAGCAGTCACTTCTAGAAAGAATTAGGTATTTTATGCTTAAGAATTTGCATTATTTATTGCATATACCCATCTTGCTCTTCTTTCCCAGAAAGTTCAATTTTCTTCCTAAGCCCAGCTGTGCAGTTCAGTAAAAGCATTTTGATGCATTAACTTGGGGAACGCCCCACCTAGTGGATAATCACAAACCCATTTTCTCGTTGCTCCAGTTTGAACAGACTTAAGGTTATGGTGGATTAACTTAAATATTACCCATGTTCACTGCCAGCTCAGGAAATTGGTTAAATAGCTGGATTTTCTTTCCCCTTTGTCTTGTGGGGTGAGGGTGGTGGTGTTTAGGGAACTGGGAAAGGTAAAAAGGGGATTTACATGAAAGTAAGTCTCAAGTTGAAAAAGGCGTCCAATTCCCTAAATGTTTTAACACATAAATTAGTTACAAGGTATGGTGCTTAAAATGGCCAGCTACTATACTGTACACTTCTTTACTGTTCAGAAGTTTATGAAACAGAAAAAAACCCTTAAAAACATAAGTTCCTATTCTGGAAGGAATTTTGGTTAAATTAAATTCTGGTTAAATATCTTCCACCAAGTGAAATATACTAAAGTTTATAAATCTAGATTTATTTTTTTTAATCATTTTTTTGTCAGTTCCAGTTACCTTTTCAGGCCTTCAGTCTTGGGCAGGCTTAGAGTAATGCTAGTTTTACCTAGTTAATTTTATATTAAGTTAACTTATGTGTACTGTAAACCATCAAGCTTTAAGCATTTACTTAGAGAACTGTACTTTCTTTGTGAATAGTTCTCTTAGTCTAGGTGGGGTGCAGTTTCTGCAGCTGAAATAAGTATGAGTAAAGGTAGTGGTGTGTATGAAGAAAATCTTTTTTTCCATCACCTTTTTTCCATATTTTCTCGGGCTTCATGGTTTTGTATCATTTAGCCAACATGGTCTGTTTCATCTTAGTAAAAAAAAAACCCCAAAAACATTCTGATCCATCAAGGGTGTGTGATTCAATAAGGCTGCTGCCACTGGGTGGGTTAGGGTAGTTTATGTGGCACAAGCAGAAGGGGCCAGGGGAAAAGTAACCCTTAGTTTTGGAACAGATGAATGGCCTTCATTCTTCTGCTAAATGAAAATAAAAATCATAGCAGTTCCTGTCTTACTTCCTCTGAGATTCTCAAAACCCTTCAGTTACCTCTTCTGCTTAATGATGAAGTTGTATAACAGTGAAGAACTTGAGACTGAAATTACTGCTTTGGAAAAATATTTTTCTATCTAAATTTGATGGCATATAGTCTGCTTTTCTGATGCTTGTCCTAATCTTGATGTGTCCCAAAATTAAATCAAGGCTTCAGAACCCGCAGTCAGCAGTGGTTTATGTGTTCTTGGTTTGGGGATGGCATGGAGGGGAGAGGGGAAGAGAGGAACTGTCCAATCTCACCTCGCACACACAGCTCTTCCTGATAGGTGTTGTTACACTTCCCTTCATGGAGGTGTCCTGCCTGACTGGAATGTAAATCTAAAAGCATACCTGTGGAAGAAGTACAATTCATACAATTTAGAGACAAAAACACACCCTAATGAGAAAGTTTGGGGTGAACAAAGGAAATTACTTTTGACCTTTGAGTCAGTCACCTTTCTAAGATAAGAGGTGGTAAAGCGTATAGCAAATGCATTAAAACCAATTTAATGTACAAGTGCAGTCATTATTTTATTTATGCATGTATCTGTAAACTTCAGAGGGCAGTGTGTTCAGTACAATTGAATTCCTGGCTATGCTGAAATGTTTATTCAAACTTGCATTTATATTTGCTTATAAATTTTACTGAAATGTGTTGTATGAATGGAATATAAAATCCAGGCCATCGTGGATAAAATACCATTACTTAAGCAGATCTGAAAAGGTATCTTTTAATTTTTTTAATTTTTTTTTTGTGTTTTTTCCCCAAGAAGCAAGATATTTCTAAAATTTAGAGGTTGCTATGTTGTGTGGGAAATCTACTGCATTAGCATTAGATTTTAGAAAGTTGCTGGTTCACCTAACTAACCCATCATGAGGTTGTGGGCTTTAAGAGAAGCAGAGGTGGAAAACATGGAGTATTTTTAAAAATGCTTCATAATCCTCTTCAATGACAAGTGGTATTATGCTATATTTTTTCTGCTCCTTTTCTTTGTGCATGATAGCACTCATAAATATTGCTATATATAAAAGGGTTTTTTTCAAATTAATATTTTGTTTCCTTGCTTAGACGAATGTCAATCCTTCAATCTCCCAGCATGCTTCTAACTTAAACAATACTTACACAAATACAGCGTTCTCAATTTTGTTTAATTGTAGCCTGGTTGTAATACTTGTAATAGTGATTATTGACAAGGGAATAAAAGAGTTCAAGTTGGACCCCACAAGATTTCTTTTTGTTTGCAGCAAGTGTATTCTCCCAAAGCAGGTCTGAAGCTGGTTTTGTTCATCATGTTTAAATTAAACAGCCTTTCCAATAAACCGTTACCTTAAAATTGAAAATGCTGTAAGCTTGTGTGTGGTTTTGAAATACTGGTGGCAGAAGGGATAGAATTTGTAAGATTTTTAATGTCTTTTTTTTAATCTTCGTGCAGGCACACATCTATTCTTTGGGTGCAACACTGAAAGCAGCAATAGAATATATTGTAGAACCTGAGACAGAATCAGAATTTGGACAAGATCTGCACACTCTGCTGGAACAAATGCAAGAAGAGAATCCTGAAAATAGGCCGGATATTGAGGTAAAACTGCCCTACAGAGGTTTTTGTTCTTGAAGAAATGATACTAATATTTCTATATGTGTGCTAGAATAACATTTCTATTCATCTCATTAATCTCTGTAATTCTCAAGATGGTCTTGATAAGCAGTATGCTCAGGTTCTGCAAAAAAGCTGAGGTCTTCTCTGATTCTGCAGAAATTCATTCTTTTTCCCACTCTAATGGATATACCTCCTAAAAAGTAGATGTAGACGTTAGTGCTTGGATTTTTAAGAAGGTTGGGTGAATACATTGATGGATCTAAATTTTCTCATTAACTGTTTTCTTCCCATTTAATATTTGGTTTACAGAGAGACAGAGTGTCATTAGAAATACAAGCACAGGTATTATGCTGTGAAATTTGTGTGATAATTGGATTGCATTTAAGGGGGATGTTTGGACCCTGCCCCAGGGGGTCTCTGTTCCTTGGCATGTTCAAAGCATTACTGCTAACTAGTTTTTCTGTAAATACATAAAGGCTTAGCTATCTCTCTTGGATTTTGTATTTTATTCCATGTAGCCTCTTACTTTACCTTTAGCTGTTAGAAAGAATTTGAAACTATATAGGATTTTTCAAGCTGATGTTTTAAAATAATTTACATTCTTTAATTCAAATGTTAGTTAACTGATAGTTATTTGATATTAATGTGCCAAAGTTTAACTTCAATGTTTTTGCAGAGTGTGAGAATGTAACCAGAGAATAACAGTTGTGCAATGTGATTTTTCTTGGCTTCAGTTCTCCTACTTCAGAGTAGTGCTATATACTTTTTTTTTTTTTTTATTT